AGGACGGGAGAGAGGACGGGAGAGGAGGAAGGGAGAGGAGGACGGGAGAGAGGAAGGGAGAGAGGATGGCAGAGGAGGATGGGGAGGGGATAGCGAATGGGGGTATGTGGGAGGGGAGGTATATGTGGCCAGCCAGCCCGGGAGACCGAGGAGTGGTGAGGAAAAGAAGAGGTGGAGTTACGTAGCATTGCATTGCATTGCATTGCATTGCATAGCATGGCATGGCATTGCAAGGCATAGTATGGGATGGCATGGCATGTCAATGCATGGCATGGCATGGCAACCATTCTAGGAAAGCCTGTGAGCTTGGGAGGCGGACCGCACTGGGGTGCGCACCGAAACAAGGAGGGACCACAACAAGGAAAGGCACACGGAGAGAAGGAGAGCAAGCGGGCGAGCAAGCGAGCAAGCAAGCAAGCACACCATACCATTCCAGGAAGGCCCGCCTGGCAGAAGAGCCGTCTCCCAGCAGCAGCACTGTGAGCTTAGGAGGCAGGCCGCGGGCCGCACACCGACTGGTGCAGTGAACTAGAAAGACATGCAACGAAGCGAGAACAAAGCAAGCACAGAACAGAACCCACCATTCCAGGAAGGCACGCTTGGCAGAAGAGTCGTCCCCCAGCAGCAGCACTGTGAGCTTGGGAGGCGGGCCGCACACCGACTGCCCCACGAGCGGATCACACGCCACGTGGCTCAAGCACAGGAACTCTGGGGGGACAAGGGGGGGGTGTGCGGAGGAGTGGGTGGGGGAGGGCGAGTGGGGAGGCGGCGGGTAGGGTGGGGTGGAGGGAGAGTGGGGGGGGAAGAGAGGGAGGGGGGCGAAGGAGTGGAAGGCCGCGTGTGACGAAGCGATGAGGGGGGGTGGAAAGCCACGGCACAGCACTCTGTGAGCTTGGAAGGCGGGCCGCACACCGATTGCCCCACGAGCGGATCCGACGCCACGTGGCTCAGGCACAGGAACTGTGGGAGGGCGGAGGGCGGAGAGCGGAGGGGGGGGCAAGGCGAAAAGGAGGGGTGGTGATTGGGGGAGTGCTTTTGAGTCGACTCAAAAGATGGATCCGATGCCACATGGCTCAGGCACAGGAACTCTGGCGGGAGAGAGGAGGGGGAGGGGGAGGGGGAGGGGGAGGGGGAGGGGTGATGAGTGGGGGAGTGGAGTAAGTTGGGGAATGAGGGGGTAAGGGGTAGGGGACGGGTATGTGGGGGCAGCGGGGAGTAGACGTTGAAGAGAGGGAAGGCGGGAGGGTGTTGCACCTTGCATGCTCAGCTTGACAACATGGTAGCACTGACACGTGAGACATGACCCATGGCTCATGACCCATGACCCATGACCCATGACCCATGACCCATGGCCCATGACCCATGACCCATGACCCATGACCCATGACCCATGACCCATGACCCATGACCCATGACCCATGACCCATGACCCATGATCCATGATCCATGATCCATGACCCATGATCCATGACCCATGATCCATGACCCATGACCCATGACCCATGATCCATGACCCATGATCCATGACCCATGACCCATGACCCATGATCCATGACCCATGATCCATGACCCATGACCCGTGACCTATGATCCATGATCCATGATCCATGACCCATGATCCATGATCCATGATCCATGATCCATGATCCATGATCCATGATCCATGATCCATGATCCATGATCCATGATCCATGATCCATGATCCATGACGACCCATGATCCATGATCCATGATCCATGATCCATGATCCATGATCCATGATCCATGATCCATGATCCATGATCCATGATCCATGACCCATGATCCATGATCCATGACCCATGATCCATGACCCATGATCCATGACCCATGACCCATGACCCATGATCCATGATCCATGATCCATGATCCATGATCCATGATCCATGATCCATGATCCATGATCCATGATCCATGATCCATGATCCATGATCCATGATCCATGATCCATGATCCATGATCCATGATCCATGACCCATGACACGTGAGTCTAGAGCCTAGCTACTAGCACCGTCCACAGGAGCGCGTAATTCCTGGCATTTACTTTTTGAGGCGCCTCAAAACTAGAATGTGGCGGCGGGCAGTACGCTTCATGCACGGGAGGTGCGCTGCGTGCACCGTCCACGGGAGGTGCGCTGCGTGATTCCAGGCGCCCCACAAATGCTGAGCGCTCATGGGAGGATGTCTGATGTGAATCTGAGGCGCCTCAAAAATGAGAGGATGTCTGATGTGAATCTGAGGCGCCTCAAAACTCAAAAATGGGGGGATGTCTGATCTGAATTTGAGGCGCCTCCAGACGCAACGCGAAGCGACGCACCGTGTCGTGCGTGAGAGAATCATATCTCAAGGCGGCTCTCGATGCAAAGCAGAGCAGAGCAGAGCAGCGCAAAGCAAGCAGGCCGCGCCGCGCAACGCACCGTTCATGGGCGAGTCCGGCGGCGGGCGGTACGCTCACTAGAGATGCTCAGCTCCGCGAATCGAGATTCGGAGAATCCGGCGGCTGGGCGAATCCGTTCAACGCACCGTTCAAGGTAAGCTCACTAGAGACGTTCAGCGCGACATTCGACGCACCGTTCATGGGCGAGTCCGGCGGCGGGCGGTACGCTTCGGAGACGAGGCGAAGCGCGGTCTCGTGCGGGCCCATGCCCGTCCACCCCAGACACGCCATGAATGCCAGTCGCCGGGCCACGCGCCCTCTGCCACGCGCCCACTGCCACGCGCCCTCTGTCACACGCCCACTGCCACGCGCCCTCTGTCACGCGCCCACTGCCACGCGCCGTCGGGCCACGCGCGACACACACACACACACACGAACGAGCTCAACCGCGCGACTTAGAGCGACTTAGAATGCCAACACTCTAGTGTCTCGTGTTTCGTGACCGCCTTGACTGGAAGCTCGCATGACCCCAGGAGGGATTTCGGGGCGCCTCAAGAATGGGCTTCCTTTAGTGGTGTGACACGTCCTAGAAGACTGGGCTTCCAAATGCTTCTAGAGAGTGGCCTCGTTTCTAGGTATCCACATGTCTCGTTGGCATATTTCATTTCGGATTACTAGAGTGGTTCTTACCCCCTTTATCCATCACTACTCAATGCAAGAATCAAAAGCATGAGAACCACTTTAGTCGCCATCGCATGGACACTAGGCAGGCAGGCAGCCCGTCAGAAATCTAAGGTTTAGTAGTAGCAAGATGCTGGGGTGGGGCTGCCTTCCTTACATTGCCTTGCATGCTCCCTCTACTGTGCAGCTGCTGTTCTGGAGTAGAAGTGCCCCAGGCCCAGGAGGAGCCTCAAGAAGCATGATGGCACATGAGAGGTACGGTATGTACATGTACCTCCCACTCCCAGCCAGCTCAAGGCTCGTCACCCCAGCAGCAGCACCCGCAGTGGCACCAGCAGCGGCAGCAGCAGCAGCAGCATGAGTGCTCACTGCTCACCCCGCCTTATTGAACATGCCCGTTGCACGCTTCTTTTCATTCTTCTCATCCATTCTGCCACACACGACGGCCAAGCGCAACGCAAAACGACAAAAAAAAAAAAAAAAAAAAAAAAGACATGCACGCAAGGTGTGGGGAAGAGCAAGGAGTTTCTGGGTGGAGAAGCACAACCAGGAAAGTGTGGGCTGTCAGGAGAAGGGGAGGTTTGGGGGATGGGGGAGAAGGGGAGGGGGAGGGGGCAGCAGGAGAAGGGCGGAATAAGCAGAGAAGGTGTGTGTACATGTACGAAGACAAGAGTGGCGGGCTTCGTACTGTCAGTGTGCCACCAAGAACCGAGAGAACGACACTGGACTGAATTTCGCCTCTATTCCGAGGCGACTCAAAACCCCACCACCCCACCCACGTCCAGGTTGCCGATGGATGTCATCTCATCCCCTTGTCCGAGACACATTATCCACCACGGTGCCGTGCCGTGCCATCCGCCCGCCTCTATTGCAGTGTGCCTCGGAACCTGTCTCTGATTCGACGTACAGTCATGGCCCCAACCACTCACAGGTTGCTAATGAACATCACATCACTCAAGGCACGTTATCCACCAAAATTCCATTACCCCGAGGTGCTCCATTATTCCGCCTCTATTCTGAACCGCCCCAATTCTTCTCCCCCCCACCCCCCCACCCCCCACCCTCCCCCCCCCCCCCCCGTTGCCCACTCACAGGTTGCCTATTGACCGCATGGCCTTGCCCGACACGTTGTCCACCACGGTGCCGTCCGCCTCAAGCGTGTAATTCGCCCCCGGCAGGTGCAGCAGGCCCCTCTTGGTGAGCGCCGTCAGCTCCTTCTTCGGCACCTCACGCCCGTTCACATACACGCGCGTCTTGCCACCCGCCCCCGAGCAGTCCTTGTCCATCGGGTGGTGGCCAAACTCGTGCATGAAGGCCTGGTGGAAGGGTGAAAAGGGGGGTTGGGGGGCGGGATGCAGGACAGGCGTGTTATGGTGGCAAGATGCGAGTTGATGCGCTTTGGGACGTCTCAGAGCAGCCCTTGTCCATCGGGTGGTGACCAAACTCGTGCATGAAGGCCTGGCAGGGGAGGAGGGGAGGAGAGGCGGGAGATGGGTAGGGAGGAAAACGGGGAGAGGGGGGGGGGAGGAGGAGGGGGAAGGGGAAGGGGGAAGGGGAGCACAGGTTGATAACGGCACGTGCGAGGCTGGATGATGTTGCAGGCACACACAAGGACTGCTGGATGGCATGAGTTTTGGGGCGTCTCAGAGCACCACGCCCTTGTTCACTGGGTGGTGGCCAAACTCGTGCATGAATGTCTGGTGTGTGTGCGTGGCTATTTTTTAGGCGCCTCAAAAATAGACTCCTCACGCATGAATGTCTGGTGCGTGTGCGTGTGCGTGGCTAGCTCTAAGCGCCCAGAAGGCCGGGCAGCCGATAGACATCAGCGGGATGTAAAGGTGGCAGGTGTAACGCAGCGTGGGAGGGAGGAATGGAGTGACGGTTGTGGGAACGGGCAAGAGAGAGGGAGTGCAAGGCCCGGAGACATGCTGCAAGGGTGTGGGGAGCCCAAGGAAATGCAAGGGTGACTGACAGGAGTGGGTGACTGGCAGGCGTGCAGGGGTGTGAAGGGTGTGAGAGTGAGGCATACCGGCAACACTCCCAGGGAGGGGCCTCCCACAACTCCCCAGAAGCCAGCTCGCACGTCGTACCTGGAGAAGGGAGAAGGAGAGATAAAGTGGGGGGGGTGGAGAAGAGGGGGAGAAGAGCGGGAGAAGGGACACGAGGGGAGGGGGGGGGATATGATGTCTATTGAGTCGATTCAGCCATCAACCCCAAGAGAGGAAGGGAGGGGAGGGGGGGAAGGGAAGGGAAGGGGGAGGGGAGCGTGGGGGGGGGGGTATGATAGCTGTAGTGCAGTGACACAGGGTGTTGCGTCAGCAAAGTAGTCTGACTTAAAGGCTCCTCTCCTCCTCCCCCCTCGGTATTCATCCATGTTAAAAAAACTCTTCCTTTTGGGGCACGCCAAAATCACATCCCAATACCCCTCCTCCGTGCCTTGACCGACCCACATCCCTTCCCCTGCCCCTCCCTCCATGCGCCAGTATATATCCCCAGGGTCGCTTCCCTTCCGACCCCCGAGTCAATTCAAGCCACGTCCCTATCGAGCTTCATCCATCCTTGGGTGAACTGTGAAACGATCCATCGATCCCGGTCGTGTACCAGTACTTCCCCGGGTCGATGGGTCCAACCCTCTGCTCCACCTGCACAATCCCCTGCATTGTCGGTCGGTCCACACTGCAATCCCCTGCCCAGCCCGTTCACCCACACCTTCCCATTCGTCCCGACACAATCCTTCCCTGCCCTGGAGACTTTTGAGTCGACTCACAAGTCACCTCGTTACAATGTCACACAACACATTCATCCCGACACAATCCTTCCCTGCCCTGGACAGCACGTCTCTCGAGCCACATCCTTTCTCCCCGCACCCTTCCCCGGGTCGATGGGTCCGATCCGCTGCTCCACCTGCACGATCCCCTGCTCAGTTGGTCCGCAATCCCCTGCCCGATCCCCTCCCTCTCCCCCCCCCCCCCCTCCCCCACGCGTACCAGTATTTCCCGGGGTCAATGGGTCCGATCCTCTGCTCCGCCTGCACGATGCGCTGGTCGGGCACGGCCTTCCCGTTCACCCAGATCTTCCTCCGGTACTGCTGCTCCCCTGTCGAGCTCCGACGCATCGTCCTCTGCTCCTCGCCCCCTGCCGTGCCAGCACCAGCACCTGGAGCCTCCCCTGCCCTCCGGCGGAACGATGCGCTCCCCACTCCTCCAGCGGCTAGCGGCGTTCCTGGTATGGCCCCAGCACCCACAGAAGCAGCAGCAGCAGCACCGCCACCGCCATTGACACTACTGATGGAACCAGATTTCGGCATTCTTGCCGACCCCATGCGTCGGAATGCCGCTCCAGTGTTTGACACCCCTACCCCTACTCCTCCTCCTCCTCCTCCTCCTCCTCCTCCTCCTCCTCCTCCTCCTCCTCCTCCTCCTCCTCCTCCTCCTCCTCCTCCTCCTCCTCCCCCCTCGCTGCCTGCTGCACCACCAAACCCAGCCTGCCCGAATCCTACCTGCCCGGATCCAACCTGGCCGAATCCAGTCTGTCCGGATCCAGCCTGCCCAAATGCAGACTGCCCAAATGGAGCCTGCCCGAACCCCCCCAAAGGAACACCGCCTGGCGTCATAGGAGCAGCAACGACACGGGACCCACCTGCCTCCTTGTTCGACTGCACGCGCCTCACACCCCTCGGCACCTGCTGCTGCGCTGCTGCTGCTGCCCCTTGGTAGCTCTCATTCATGTTGCTGCTGCTACTGTTCTGGTGCTCGTTGAAGCTCCCTCCGCCCCTGCTTGCTGTTTCCAAAAGCCTGCTGCCACGGGGTGTGGCAGAGAGGGAGCGCTGGGACTGCAGCGGCTGCTGCTGCTGCATCTGCTGCTGTAGCTGTTCCTGTTGCCACTGCGGCTGCTCTTGCTGCATCCCCTGTTGCATCATTGCCTGCTGCTGCTGCTGCTGCTGCTGCTGCTGCTGCTGCTGCTGCTGCTGCTGCTGCTGCTGCTGCTGCTGCTGCTGCTGCTGCTGCTGCTGCTGCTGCCATTGATACTGCTGCTGTTGTTGCAGGCCTGCAGGCATCCCTCCTGGTCCCACAAAATGGGGCGTGGTGGAGAGCTGATACATGTGCTGTGCTTGCAGCGACTGCTGCTGCTGCTGCTGCATCTGTTGCTGCATGGGAGTAGGAGGAGGCAGTTGCTGAAACTGTTGTTGCTGTTGTTGTTGCTGCTGCTGCTGCTGCTGCTGCATCACCATTTGTGATCTAGCAGAAGGCGTCATCGGGCCATACCCTTGCCCTTGGAACGCAATACCCTCGTTACCCCCGCTCCAACTCCCATTCCCATACCCACCCCCCATCGAAGCCCCCATCCCAGCCCCATGCCCATACCCCTCTCCTGCAACCCCCATGCTCCTGTTCCCGTTCCCATTCACATTCCCGTTCCTGTTCCCCTGGCTGCTCTGCACCCGCTGCTCCTCCCACATCCCTCCCCCATTCCCCCTCTCCTCCTCATATCCCATCCCCCTCCCATCGTACTCATCGTCATAACCCTCCTCATTATACTCACGCCGCACCACTTCCTGTCCACACTCACCCCCTCCTTGCCCGTAGTTCAACTGCTGGTTAGAAGACCCTTGACTATCCCACTCTCCACTCTCCCCCGCATACTCCCCCTCTCCAATATACCCCCCCTGGCGATCAAACCCTTCCCTCCCTCCCTGCCCCTCAAAACCCCCCTCTCCTCCCTCACTCTCTCTCTCAAACCCCTCGCCGCCATAATTCGCCCCCGCGGCGTAGTTCCCTTGCCCGGTATAAGCTCCCTGCCCCCCATGCAGACCCCCCTCCCCCTGCCAACCCCCATACTGCATGCCTGCTTGACCCTCCACGTACCCTTGCATCTGCATCTGCTGCTGCCGCTGCTGCTGCTGCTGCTGCTGCTGCTCTGTGCCTTCCTTTGGCTGTTTCTTCTTCTTCTTCACCTTCTCTTTCGGTTTCTTGCTAACACTACTCTTACCAGAGGCCTCAGGGGAGCCCGAAGGGGGGCGCCTTGTGCTTAGAGGGGATGGCGGACGGCCGACCATAACCGATAGACCCCCCCCCACTCCTCCTCCTCCCGCTCCTCCTCCCCCTCCTCCTGCCCCTCCTCCAGCGGCAGCAGCAGCAGCAGCGGCGGTAAGTGGGGGGCCTTCTCTGGCTGCAGCAATGTTGCCTTCTCCCATGCCCGGCTGAGCCTGAACGGAAAATAGGGTGGGTTACCACACAGAGTTTCTCGGGTTGGGTCACCAGGGGGTTGGGTAACCAGAGTGAGTACGAGAGGTTGGTACGGAAGGGGTCACAGCTCGAAAACGGCAGAGAAGCAAGCAATGGAAGGAAACAAGGAGGGCAATTAGAAACCATGGCTTATGGCTTCTATTTCCTTTGGTACGGAAGGGGTCACAGCTCGAAAATGGCAGAGAAGCAAGCAGTGGAAGGAAAGAAGAGGGGCAACAAGTACAGAGAGCCACAGTGGCCCAGCTTACCCGGTCGTCTTCACTGGACGAACTGTTAGGGAACACACGCCCACACTCAACCCGTTGCTGCGCGCCCTCTCCCACTCTCCCCCCTCCTCCGCCTCCGCCTCCCCCTCCCCCTCCGCCCATCCCGCCACCTGCCCCGCGCGCCACACTAACACCGATATCACTCCCGCAGGAGGTCCCCGGGGGGTCAAGGGAGGGGGGGGAGCTGCAGCGGGCGGAGGCGGCAGGGGCAGTGGGGGGGCCGAACTCGTTCTGGCGGGCTTTCCTGGCGGCTATGGCCCGCTGCGCTGCTGCGGCTGTGTGTGCGTCCACTGACTTCCTCGCCCTCTGACCTAACGCCTGCTGGGGCACCTGCTGGTGGGCCATCTGCTGCTGCTGCTGCTGCTGCGACCAGATAGAGCTATTTCCGCCGCTGGAGTACCCGCCGGCATATCCCATGTCTCCCCCGTACCCATCACCATCACCCCCCTGCTGCTGCTGCTGCTTGTTGTGTTGAAGGGAAGGCATGGGCGGCAGCTGGAACCCCGAGTGGTCGGAGGAGGAAGACGGAGAGAGCATAGGCGGCTGCTGGTACGGCTGCTGCTGCAGCTGCTGGAGTTGGTACTGTTGCTGCTGCTGGTAGCTGCCCCAGCTTTCCCCCCCCCCACCATGCCCCATGGGAGACGGAAGCGGAGGTTGCCGCGGCGATGGTTGGTAGCTGAACCGCGCACTGCCATGACCACCCATTTCACTGGCACCCGGCGGCCCTTTAGCAGCGTGCGCCTTCGATTGAGCCCGATTAGGTTTGGAGTACGGATCCATCTGCGAAAAATCGTCTGACACAGCTTGCACCTGCTGCTGCATCTGCGCCTGCTGCGCCTGCTGCTGCTGCTGCTGCTGCTGCTGCTGCTGCTGAGCTTTCTTTGTTTTCGTTTTCACCTTGGTCTTCGGCTTCACCTTCTGAACCGGCATCGAATCCTCTTGCTCCATTCCCAGCTGCTGCGCTCCGCCTTCAATATACGAACCCTCGTCATTATAACCATTCATTTCTCCCCCCCCGTACTGCTCTTGGTCGTACGAAACTTCGTCGTAATGCGTAGAACCCTGATAAGGGCCCTGCTGCGAAAAGCCTCCATAGCCGTCAACACTACCGCGACCGTCAGCACGACCTGCCGGTCCGTCTCTTCTCTCCGGACCCGACCGGCTGCGTGCACTCGCATCCGTTCCTTTGCCGGTGCCGTCTCTTATTAAATCGCTCCTCGTCCGTCGCACTTCGGGTGGATTAGAGTCGGAATCGCTAAGGTTGCTCCGACGAGTCGTCTCGCTTTGCGTGCGATCGACCAGCGGAGGCACCCCCCCCTCACCACCGTACTCAACACCATCGTCACCGAAGCAGTCACCGCCGTTACCACCTGCGGTGTAACCACCCTCCTCATTCCAAACCACCGACTTTCCCCCCGCGCTGCTCGCTCCCCCACTGCTTCCTCCCCTCCCGCACCCGCCGCCGCCGCCGTCGGTGTCGGGGAACTGGAACGAGGAAGACGTCTGGGAGGGAGTTTGTCGGCGAGCGGAGGTCTTAAGAGCGGGCTTTAAGTTACGACTGCCGGTCGCAGATTCCGTGTCGGAATTAGAAGGGGGAAAGGGTGACGGTGACATAATGCGACGAGGCCTGTCGGGTGTCATATTGGCTTGTTGCTGACGTGGCTGCTGCTGCTGAATCCTCCGGGTGGCCATAATTGATATTAGGTTTATAATATAAAAAGGTTCTGTCGTCGAAGGACTAGGTGTACGAAAGAGCGGTCGGCTGCTAGGATTGGTGACGTCCGTTTAGGAGGAGTCAGACGGAGATGTCCGGTCAGTTGAAAAGAACATGCGCGAAAAGGAGGAATGTGGGTCACAATGCGAGGAAAGTTTTATCATAGGAAAGGCGGAGGATAAAGAACAATCTGACAACAAACGACGTTTCGAAGACCACAACGTAAGTCTGGCGCTAAAATTCGCAATACGTGGCCGCTAGCTCCACCGCTTAGAAACTGCTCGTCTGTTGTTCGATTCCAACCGCCATTGCATCCAACTCTGTACGCATGAACTAGTGGTTACGTGGTGACGCGAGGACTAGGCTCAGTCAGGCTAGCAACAGCAGCAGCAGCGTCAATGCCAAAATGTCCCCAAGAGCGTGTCAACTGTTTTCTTGAAGTGCTGTTAACAAGCTGGTGTGCGTTCCGACACTTTCAGATAGATTCTAGAACGGTTGGGTACAGTTCTGAGGAATGCGGAGTAATGGAATCCAATAGAGCATCTCAAAGGGGAGGGGGTTAAGGAGGTTAGGAAGGATGTCCGACAGAATGACACGACAGCTTGTGCCGTGCCGTGCTACACCACACTCGGTTTGTCGTTTGGGGGCTCGGCTGGTTCGGGAAAGGCTGGTTCGGGAATTTGAACGACTTGGCTGAGAGGCTCGGCCTGTGGTTGGGCCTGGGTTTGGGGGGGCGTGTGGCTGGGGTGAGGTAAGGAACACTCTCAAAACTGTCGGTGAAACGGTCAATGTTGTACAGTACAGGATGCTACACGAGGCCTTGAGGGCCGAGAGAAAATGGTCCTCTTTTAAACGCGTACACAGTGGCCGGTTATTGTGGTGTCGTGTTCCTGTACGACATTTCGTCCTGAGTTTACACAAGGAACGGGGTGGATTGAATTTTGAAGACAGGATGCGATTGGATGCGATTCACATGCACGAAAGGGCCGATGAGACAATGCCCTAAACGGGAAATCCAAACGCGGTGTGAATGTGATAGACACCCATTTTTCCCCCTTTTTCCTGGTCATTGCACTACGAGAAGGGAAACATTTGGGTGTGCGGGGGGGGGGGTGAGGGTGGTGGGGGGGGGGGGGGGGGAGGTTGGCAATGCAATACATCTTCGGAGAGGTGATGCTATCTTCCCTGCTAAAATAAAAGTACACCTAGCCCCCGGGCTAGGTGTAGTGTGTTAAACTGAAACTAGTGCTTCCAAGGTCACGAACCATTGACCCTACAACCTCATCTGACTTTCCCAAGCCTGCTTAGAGAAAACTACACTAAGAGCATTTTTGGGTTGCGTAGCAACCCTATAAAATCGGTTTCACATTTCGGAGCATTAATATGAACAGTAAATTTTAAGAATTTAGTTAACTGTTCGATGCAACTCCAAAATATGAATCCGAAATGTCCAAAATGCTCCATCGCGTCGATAAGTACGGCGGATGGAACAATCAGACCGCATGACACATTTCAACAAATTATTACCGGTATGTATAATTAAACATTCTGTAGGATTGCAAATGACAGGAAACGAGTGCATATAGGCATTAATAGTGTTGCAGTAGAGATTGATGGGGTGCACGATGACAGCGGAACTGCCCCGAACACGATGACAATCTCTAATTGCAACAACTAGCCAATAAGCAGCACGCTCGGGGCAAACGCAATCCAAACACACCTCGTGCCAGCCACCACATCTCGTCGATACATACAGTGATGGAGTGAACATGCAAGTACGATAGGATTGTGAGTGCTACGAAACGTTTGCATATATGCGTCAATGCTGCAACAGAGATTGATGGGGTGCGCAATGACAACAGAGTTGCCCCACGCACGATGACAACCTCAAATTGCAACACCTTGCATATAAGCAGCACATCCGAAGCAGACACAATCCACGCCTTATCACATTTGCTGCCACACGCACTATGCACATGGGGACTAGGAGCAGCAGGCACACCTCGAAACAGACAGTATTTATCAAACCCATGCACACCCCTCAAATGCAAACAACAATCAAACAAACACATGCACCATCGCAAATAGCCTAATAGTTGGAGTTCCCAATATCCAAATTAGAGAACAGTGGTAACGCCGTGCAATCAGAAATCTGTCCCCGCAAGATGTTCCAACAAGCAATAGAAAATGGTGTTGGAAGATGTTCTTTGTCTTGCGGCTGCAACAGACAGCGCGTGCTGTACGACCTGCACAGTACACCAGTGAATCATAGAAACACAACATACGTTCAAAAGTGGACCACATAATTTGTTTATATGCACTTATGGTGTTGGATATTGCGTTTGGGGTTTCAGGTTTGGTGCGGAACATGGGATGAAACTCAGAAATATAAAAAAACGAGAGTAGGCAAAACTCACGCCGACCACATTGATTTCTTAAGACAGTAAATAAGACAGTAAACAGCCAGACATTCTATGCCCATACATGCATACAGCCATGCATGCTATGCCCATACATGCATACAACGCATGCTATGCCCATACACACATGCAGTCAGACATGCTATGCCCATACACACATACAGCTACGCATGCCATCCCCATACACACAATCAGCCTGGCATGCTATCCCCATACATGCATACGGCCAGGCACGTTATGCACATACACGCATACAACTAGGCATGCCATGCCCATACACACACACAGCCAGGCATTCTACGCCCATACATGCATACATCCATGCATGCTATGCCCATACATGCATACAACTAGGTATGCTATGTCCATACACACATACAGCCACGCATGGTATGCCCATACACACAAACAGCCTGGCATGCTATGCCCCTACATGCATACAGCCATGCATGCTATGCCCATACATGCATACAACTAGGTATGCTATGCATATACACACATACAGTCAGGCATGCTATGCCCATACACACATACAGCTAGGCATCCCATCCAAATACACACATGAAGCCAGGCCTACCATGCCCATACACCCACACAACCAGGCATGCTATGCCCATATACACATATAGTCAAGCATGACATGGCCATACACACATACAGCCAAGCATGCTATGCCCATACATGCATACAGCCATGCATGCTACGCCCATACATGCATACAATACAACTAGGTATGCTATGCCCATACACACATACAGCCAGGCATGCTATGCCCATACATGCATACAGCCAGGCATGCTACGCCCCTACATGCGTACAGCCAGGCACGTTATGCCCATACACACATACAGCCAGGCATGCTATGCCCATAAATGCATACATCCATGCATGCTATGCCCATACATGCATACAGCCATGCATGCTATGCCCATGCATGCATACAGCCATGCATGCTATGCCCATACATGCATACAACTAGGAATGCTTCGCCATACACACATACAGCCAGGCATGCCATGCCCATACACACATACATCCAGGAATGCTATGCCCGTACATGCATACAGCCATGCATGCTAGGCCCATACATGCATACAGCCATGCATGCTATGCCCATACATGCATACAACTAGGTATGCTATGCCCATACACACATGCAGCCAGGCATGCTTTGCTCATACAACACACATACAGCTAGGCATGCCATCCCCATACACGCATACAGCCAGGCATACCATGTCCATACACACATACAGTCAGGCATGCCATGCCCATACACACACACAGCCAGGCAAGCTATGCCCATACACACACAGCCTGGCATGCTATGCCCATACATGCGTACAGCCAGGCACGTTATGCACATACACGCATACAACTAGGCATGCTATGCCCATACACACACACAGCCAGGCATGCTATGCCCATACACGCATACAGCAAGGCATTCTATGCCCATACATGCATACAGCCATGCATGTTATGCGCATACATGCATACAACTAGGTATGCTATGTCCATACACACATACAGCCAGGCATGCTATCCCCATACACACATACAGCTAGGCATGCCATCCCCATACACACATACAGCCAGGCATACCATGCCCATTCACACACAGAGACAGGCATGCTATGCCCATATACACATACAGTCAGGCATGCCATTCCCATGCACACACACAGCCAGGCATGCTATGCCCATACACACATACAGCTAGGCATGCCATCCCCATACACACATACAGCCAGGCATACCATGCCCATACACACACACAGCTAGGCATGCTATGCCCATATACACTTACAGTCAGGCATGCCATGTCCATACACACACACACACACAGGCATGCTATACCCATACATGCATACAGCCATACATGCTATGCCCATACATGCATACAACTAGGTATGCTATGGCCATACACACATACAACTAGGCATGCCATCCCCATACACACATACAGCCAGGCATACCATGCCTATACACACATACAGCTAGGCATGCTATGCCCATACACACACACAGCCTGGCATGCCATGCCCATACACGCGTACAGCCTGGCATGCTGTGCCCATACATGCATACAGCTAGGCACGTTATGCACATACACGCATACAACTAGGCATGCTATGCCCATACACACATACAGCCAGGCATTCTATGTCCATGCATGCATACAGCCATGCATGCTATGCCCATACATGCATACAACTAGGTATGCTATGCCCATACACACATACAGCCAAGCATGCTATGCCCATACATGCATACAGCCATGCATGCTATGCCCATACATGCATACAACTAGGTATGCTATGCCCATACACACATACAGCTAGGCATGCCATGCCCATACATACATACAGCTAGGCCATCCCCTTACACACATACAGCCAGGCATACCATGCCCATACACACACACAGCCAGGCATGCTATGCCCGTATACAAATACAGTCAGGCATGCCATGCCCGTACACACACACAGCCTGGCATGCCATGCCCATACATGCATACAGCCAGGCACGTTATGCACATACACGCATACAACTAGGCATGCTATGCCCATACACACATACAGCCAGGCATTCTATGCCCATACATGCATACAGCCATGCATGCTATGCCCATACATGCATACAGCCATGCATGCTATGCCCATACACACATACAGCTAGGCATCCCATCCAAATACACACATACAGCCAGGCCTACCATGCCCATACACACACACAGCCAGGCCTGCTATGCCCATACACACATACAGTCAAGCATGCCATGCCCATACACACATACAGCCAAGCATGCTATGCCCATACATGCATACAGCCATGCATGCTACGCCTATACATGCATACAATACAACTAGGTATGCTATGCCCATACACACATACAGCCCGGCATGGTATGCCCATACACACAAAACAGCCTCGCATGCTATGCCCCTACATGCGTACAGCCAGGCACGTTATGCACATACACGCATACAACTAGGCATGCTATGCCCATACACACATACAGCCAGGCATTCTTTGCCCATACATGCATACAGCCATGCATGCTACGCCCATACATGCATACAATACAACTAGGTATGCTATGCCCATACACACATACAGCCAGGCATGGTATGCCCTTACACACAAACAGCCTGGCATGCTATGCACATACATGCGTACAGCCAGGCACGTTATGCACATACACGCATACAACTAGGCATGCTATGCCCATACATGCATACAGCCATGCATGCTATGCCCATACATGCATACAGCCATGCATGCTATGCCCATACATGCATACAACTAGGTATGCTATGCCCATACAACACACATACAGCTAGGCATGCCATCCCCATACACACATACAGCCAGGCATACCATGTCCATACACACACACAGCCAGGCATGCTATGCCCATATACACATACAGTCAGGCATGCCATGCCCATACACACACACAGCCAGGCAGGCCCTGCCCATACACACATACAGCCTGGCATGATATGCCCATACATGCATACAGCCACGCACGTTATGCACATACACGCATACAACTAGGCATGCTATGCCCATACATACATACAGCCAGGCATGCTATGCCCATACACACATACAGCCTGGCATGCTATGCCCATACATGCGTACAGCCAGGCACGTTATGCACATTCATGCATACAACTAGGCATGCCATCCCCATACACACATACATCCAGGGATGCTATGCCCGTACATGCATACAGCCATGCATGCTATGCCCATACATGCATACAACTAGGCATGCTATGCCCATACATACATACAGCCAGGCATGCTATGCCCATACACACATACAGCCTGGCATGCTATGCCCATACATGCGTACAGCCAGGCACGTTATGCACATTCATGCATACAACTAGGCATGCCATCCCCATACACACATACATCCAGGGATGCTATGCCCGTACATGCATACAGCCATGCATGCTATGCCCATACATGCATACAACTAGGTATGCTTCGCCATACACACATACAGCCAGGCATGCTATCCCCATACACGCATACACCTAGGCATGCCATCCCCATACACACATACAGCCAGGCATACCATGCCCATACACACATACAGCTAGGCATGCTATGCCCATACACACATACAGCTAGGCATCCCATCCAAATACACACATGAAGCCAGGCCTACCATGCCCATACACCCACACAACCAGGCATGCTATGCCCATATACACATATAGTCAAGCATGACATGGTCATACACACATACAGCCAAGCATGCTATGCCCATACATGCATACAGCCATGCATGCTACGCCCATACATGCATACAATACAACTAGGTATGCTATGCCCATACACACATACAGCCAGGCATGCTATGCCCATACATGCATACAGCCAGGCATGCTACGCCCCTACATGCGTACAGCCAGGCACGTTATGCCCATACACACATACAGCCAGGCATGCTATGCCCATAAATGCATACATCCATGCATGCTATGCCCATACATGCATACAGCCATGCATGCTATGCCCATACATGCATACAGCCATGCATGCTATGCCCATACATGCATACAACTAGGAATGCTTCGCCATACACACATACAGCCAGGCATGCCATGCCCATACACACATACATCCAGGAATGCTATGCCCGTACATGCATACAGCCATGCATGCTAGGCCCATACATGCATACAGCCATGCATGCTATGCCCATACATGCATACAACTAGGTATGCTATGCCCATACACACATGCAGCCAGGCATGCTTTGCTCATACAACACACATACAGCTAGGCATGCCATCCCCATACACGCATACAGCCAGGCATACCATGTCCATACACACATACAGTCAGGCATGCCATGCCCATACACACACACAGCCAGGCAAGCCATGCCCATACACACACAGCCTGGCATGCTATGCCCATACATGCGTACAGCCAGGCACGTTATGCACATACACGCATACAACTAGGCATGCTATGCCCATACACACACACAGCCAGGCATGCTATGCCCATACACGCATACAGCAAGGCATTCTATGCCCATACATGCATACAGCCAT